TTATACGAAGTTATACGAAGTGCAGCCAGTTCAGCTATAAAGAACAGACCTATTATTTCGTGGTAGCGCGTGGCAGTTTAGCAAGCGCGCATGCGTTACCACGTACCACTGTTGTGACTGACACTTTGCCAACAAACCCAACCGACGCTGACTGACGCACATTGCGCTCCAGTTAACTTCAGTATCATTTGGTATCATTCCAGTACGTTTCAAAGTCGGCAGTCTTGTGTTGCTGTGTACTGTCGTTTGTTGCGCATACTGCGATGTCGTCCGGTAGCTGGGAGTTAGTCAGCAGGAAGAAAGACAGGGGAAATGACAAGTCAAACAAGCTCACAAAGGCTGAGAAGAAAAAATTCATCCAGAATGCACCAAAAGTCGAGGATTTCTGTGAGTTTATAACCTACTTGCCCGCCTATAATGCTCTATTTATAACTTTCTGTAACGTTGCTCCTATTGTTGAAATTGTCGATTCGATCGCAAGATATCACTATGAACATGACATGACCCAAATAAACAACCGATCGGCTTGTGAAATATATCAAAATTGAACTGCAATATGGTAATGCATATATTTGATGTATATACTTATTCTGCAATTAATCTGTTAATTGCAAATTAATAATCTGCTACAAGATACTGTACAAAGATGCTCCAGTTTGTGATCATCTTTTTAAATTATTTTTTTAAAGTTACCTTGCAATTAAGTATAAATTGTTTCTTTCATAGCTAACAAAAATATCAAAATCATCTGACATAATCTATATATGACTTTAGTACCACTGAGTCAAGTAAAGACTCTCTACGATAATCTGGATGGAAATAAGGAAAATAAGAAGCCTGCTAAGACACAAGGAAAAGAGCATAAGACAAAAGAGAATGAAGAAAAGAAAAAGCAGCAGCAGCAGAAACAGCAGCAGCAGCAAGCTGAAAAAAAGAAACAAGAACCAAAAGAGAAACCTCCAAAGACTATAAAAGATGCATTGAATGCGGTAAGACTGCTTTAGAATAAATATATGGCAATTGTAAAATTATACTGTACTAATGTTTTGACGTGGCTATATTTAACATTATTCATAGATTGATCCATCTGTTCTTAAATTGTAATAAGTATCATAAAAAAATAATATATTGAATTAATTAATTCCTTACAATATATACAGATTGATCCACAAGAGCTTAATGAACTTCTGGCAACTGCACAAGTCAGATTTCCTGAAGCTCCCTTGATGTGGCTGAAAGAACTTGATACATTTCTCAATATCAAAATACCCATTAACAAAGAAGATGTAGTATTCTCAGGAAAACCTAAGGATTACCCATTAAATTTAGTACCTAAGGCAATCTCTTCCATATTAGAGCGGGTAGTGGAAATGACGGGTCAGCAGACTATACAAATCTTTTATGAGAATACTCTTACTGCGATGGCCACTGATATGGTCAAGGGAGTCCCTGTCATTGGTCATAAGATATTTTTGCAACTGTTAGCACATTTAAATCCCGAGATGACCGCTGCCAATATTCCAAAATTGATTAGTATAAGGAACTCTTACGAAAACAGGAAGAATATTGGCTTGTCCTTATTATGGACTTGGTCGCAAGCTGGCAAAAAAAATCTAGCAATTGGTTTGAAGATTTGGCACGAGGTGATGTCGCCAATGCTGGAGACTAAAGGCTACGCGAACTACGTCGTACAAATCCTCGATGATCTTGTTTTCGACCACGACAATGTTCATAATCTCAGTTTAGACCTGTACCTGCATATTATCAGGGATACTTATTCTCAAAAATTTCAAAACATTCAACCCGCAAATTTGGGAAAAGAGATTAGTACGAGTATCGATAAGTTGAGGGTAAGTAATACTGTGTCGCGAATTTCAACACATTTTGATTATTGTGTTGTGTGATTATTCGATAAATAATCATGTACAAATGACGCAATGGGTATTCAACTTAACAACACGCTGATGATAGCGGCAAAACAAATACAGTAAAATTCAACATCTTTTGCAGTCGATATTATTTAGGAACAAGAATATAAGTTATTGCGAATTATTCGAAATGTTAATGGGAAAAGTTTCGCAAAAGTTGGATCCAAACTATAGACAGGAGTTAGTTAAGGCTCTTGCAGATTGCCTTGTTACAGAACCTCTTTGCTTCACTATTTGGGGTAATATTTATATTAAATATTTGTACCAATCCAGTCTTCTTCTTTCGTATATTGGTGAGTATCTTACTTTTTGTACTACATTTACGATATTGCTTTTTATATTAAAATCTTTCCTTTTCATATCTAAAATAAGTGAATACTTAGACAAAACTGTTTTTATAGATACGAATTTACCTAATTTACAAACAAAGCTCAAAGCTAAGAATTTCAAGGAAATCCTCGGAACTATTCAAAATAATAATGAAAAGTGGAAAAAAGCCAAAGATGAAAATCTCGCACTTGCATGCAAGAAAACGTCTCAAGTAAGTTTTGTTTAGCATTGTAAGCATGTTTTATTCACAGGATTTTATAATTTTATATATAAAAATTTACAAGAATGTGGAATAAAGTAAGTTATTAAAATCGCTCCAAAATACAGTTTAGAAGAATTTATAATTAAAATGCCAAAAAATGTGATACTGTCAAATAATATATATTTGATCATTCTGATTATATATCAGAATATATTATTTGATAATGTACTCTAATTTTTGCATTATATACTTATTTCTTTTAGGCAGCGAAAGGATATCTGATACATTTAATTACTAATGTAACTTAGACAAAAATTTTATTTGTTATTATTTCAGAAATACAAACTTAATTATCTGTTTATTCAGCAGATGAATGTGATATTAGTCTTCTTTGCACTTATTATTCAACACATAAAGAATTCAACAGTGAACATTTTCTTTCGTTGCATGAGGAAAAAGTCACCAAAAGCCATAGAAAGTCGTAAAAATATATTGATTTCTGAGTTATACTTATTGTGTTTTACAAGCGTTAAAGGCGGCAATAAATTTTCAAGAACGGGTAGCAAAAATTATTAGTCGTTAAATCCAGTTATGTCGTAAATCTCGGGAGGAGCATAATTTTCCATTTTACTTCTAACAAACATTATGCGTGTGCAATAACGAACGTAAACTTATATATTGCTTGTGTGTGTTGTTTTTAACTCATTGCGTACGGCTCACAAAATATTTTCGTGTTTACCGAACTGAATGTAAAAGCCAAGTTACGAAATTTATTTACATTTCATTATAATCGATCAATACTATCGAGCAAAAAGAAGAGACAAATCAATCAATATTATTGTGTTGATTATGTATCGCACTGCCTAAGCCATTTTATTATGTAAAAGTCAAAATCCTATATTTCTGAAGGAATAATTTTTGTGTTAATTTATGATATAATCTGTGATTTAAAAAAAGGTTAAAAAATGTTTCATACAAAAAATATCTATTAAACCAAGCAACATTTCAAGTAAAAATAAACTTAGTAACATTTTTTACATAAATAATGTTATTAAACAAAGAAAGAAAGTTCAGAGATTTGAAGATTCAGAGATGGAGACTGATAAACCTGTAATTAAAGTATACACAAAAAAGAATAAACTTTTCTCAATTTAGAATCATTTGAAGGAATTACTGCTATATTTCCACCATTACAAAAACATGTTAGCAACCAGGAAGCAATCAATTATATATTTAGAAATGAGTTTTTTGAGAAAATACTTGAGGAAACAAATCTTTATTATTCACAAAACGCACATGAGCATAAATCTGACATGGATATATAATATTTTTATTAATATAAAATAGTTAAAGCGATAAAAATATAAACACAACAGACAAGTATATAAAAAGTATATAATAATGCTAAAGAATTTATAAATGTAAATTGAAAAATGCTTGTATTATACTGTGTTTCTCCGAGAAATATGCGGATCTTGACAGCAAGTTGCGAACACCATACGCAATGATTAGTACAACACACGTGTATGTTCCGCGATATCCGAGATAATATTATACTTGGGCAAAAAAATTTCATTGCTCCGACTGACAAAACAGACAATTAAAGTTAGAAAGTGGTTTTCTCATTAAATTTCTAGTTTTCACGGCTCTCGTATTTACTGTCTGAGAACTTTCGTTCATTGCTACAATTATATTATAAATAGATATAAACATTTAAACTTGATTATCTAAATTTAAGTAAAAGTGCAATTTTTTAATAAAAAATCTCATTTAGCGTCAATGTAAACTTTTTATTTAAACTTATTTACAATTTAATATTTATAAATGTATCTGTACATAATATTGTATGTAGTTTTTTAAAAAACTAACGTTAAAAATTCTTTTAGTTATAATAAATAGCCTTCGGAAAATTTAACAAATGAGAAGGCTTATCGATGCATCTCTACAAGAATGCGTCATAATTGATAGAGGCGCGCTTCGTGCAGCACTGTCATTGTAAATTTATGTTCGTAATTACGCGCGTCGCAGTCTCCGTCAGTGCGTGATATTCTACGCAGCGCGCTGTGATCCTTGCATCTTCGAATGCCACATATGATAACAAAAACAAATCTATAAACCGAGTAACACCGTATAAATTCAAAGTTTTTCTAAATTCACGTCTTGATATATTGACATTCGCGTGATAATCACTCGATCGGAGAACGAAGGAATCGACTATATACGTATCAGGATCAATTAACGCAAATAATCTATTCCACCTTTGTACTACGCCTCATTGGTACACGTACATTGGTGCGACGAAGAAGGTAAATTTATTTTCGCAGATATCGTGTGATACGCTTGTTCGCGATGCAATTGTTTTCTTTTCCCGGAGAGATACAAATCTCTTCCGCACATCTTCTGTACTGACCAAAAAAAAACTACGCAGTTGCAAGCTGCGGAGAGATTTGCGTTGCGAAAGTCCTGTAGATTCTTAATAATTAGTGCCATTGACCGTGAAAATCAATCAGGGCGGACCGTTGGACGGCGAAGCGGCGGTTCCATTCGAATAAACGGACAACGCTACGCAGCATCGCGCACAGGTTAGGCGGCTGTTTTCGGGAGCGTACACGACTATTGATCTGCGCGCGTTGCCCCCCTCGCGACGTCCGACGCGATCCAGTGACGACATTGACATCGTTCGTACGTCGTATCCGCTCGTTTTTCTTTTTTTTTCGGTGCAATCGGTGAAACTCGATAACGCCTTACATCTCGATTTTCTTCAGGTGAGACACAATTTTTCGTGATGTGTATATCATACCCGATCTTTCCCGACGCAATTACTGTTACCTGTACGATACGAAATGAGAAATCGAACTGGTTTCTCGAGTCGTGAATTGTGACATATTTTTCAACGCGCTGTTGATAGAGTGATTTGTCCAAGTCTTATCGATCGGGATCGTCAAAAGACATCATCATTAATCATTGTTGATCATTATTAATTATTATTCCACGTGATTACACGTGATTCCAAAATCTAGAACTCGACGAGAAGTCAGTCTCGCATCTGTATTGTATTTCTGATAAATACGAATCACGAATACTTTTGAATATTATGATCAACTCGTTGATACTTTATTTTGCAATATTAACAATTATAATGTTCTTATAGAAGCTGCCAGCTTGAAAAAATAACGTGACGCTTTAGCAATTATTTTTTAGCTAGAATTTTAAAATGTTTTTTTGTGAAATAGGCCTTATTGTTTACTTTTCAGGACTTATTGAAAAAAATGACCTCTTCTACGCGACGCAGCTTTCCATGGAGATCTGCCAGTCTCCTTCTAATGCTGTTTATCGGCACTATTGTAGCATATGATACACATAAACATGGCTCCTTTGAGGGTAAGAATCTTTTGTAAACAATGATACTAATCACAATTTGCTATTTGTCACATATCTGGTTTTTTTTTTAAATTCTTTAAATGTTCAGGAAGATCAACTATCATACAACCATATAGCTTGTTATATTGATATAACATAATGGCATGACCTATCAAATGCTCATTAACAGAAATTTTCATTGCTGTCATGCTCATCAACATTCATCTGCATTTCTAATTTATCTTTTAATTAAATTGGAGATATAAGTAAAGTTTATTTGATTATACATTGGTATTTCTGTTATGTATTGTAGCGTCCCAAGTTGGAAAATTCTTGCAAACTAGCGGAATATTGAAATATGTAGAAAAGACATGGATTACTCTGAAGTTCTATTCGTCTGCACTACACAAAGTGATTAAGGATAGCTCACCAGAATATTACAAAGCTGTTGTAGACTTCTGTACACCATATATTAAATTAGCCGGTGATTTATATCTTATACTGAAAAATATTTCGATTAAACTGTTGAACAATGCTGCAGCATATGTCGAAAAATATACACCTATAGTTCTAGACGCAGTAAGTATACTGAAAATTTCAAATACTTTCACATGTACAACTTTTATATGGTACATTTTTATAATAATCCTTTTTTCTTGTACAGATTGAATACTATGCTCCCGGTCTCATAGAACAGACTAAATCTACAACTCTTCAGGGATTAGAATATGGGAAAGTTTACTTTACTCTAATTGCAGAGAAAGTTATCGAACATTCCAGTGCAACAATACAGTGGTTAAAATACGTCTACGTGTAAGTATTCTTGCATCATATGAAAGCTATGTACGTATGACATACCTGATTGTGGTTCTTTGTTCTCTCTTCAGGAATAAGCTTAGCCCGGATAATTTGCGGAATTATGCCGTATGGGCTTTCGACACGACACATTCGTACGCCAGTCAAACGTATGATTGGGTATACGAGAAAGTGCAGACTCTCTCCAAAGTGCCATGAATAAAATCTATTGGTTTACTCAACGAATGATTATTGTGTCGATAAAGAAACGTCTGTCTCCCCGCACATCTTCAAGCATTTATTATTTATGACATGGAAGTCGAAATGTTACATATACTTTCGAAGATCACAAACGCGTCGGCCATTTTACCTGTGATATCTTGAAAAGAGAATCTATCCTGTTTTGGTTGGTCTTGACGAAGAAAATTTCGTGACCTTCTGATAAAACATGAACGATCGAGAATATTTTTTATTAAGATAAATATTTCTATCATTTTGAAATAGTTGATAAAAAATAATATAGTCCATAGATTTATTTGTACGCAAAGCGTCGAGTGCGGACTTTAATATTTTGTATTTTCATTTATAATTTTGAGAATATGATTGAATAATATATTCGACTATATTGAGTAATTGAATAAAACTATCATTTTTCATAACAGCTTTTTTTGAAGTTATAATAAAATAGAAATTATTAAGGAAAATACTAAACAGTAAAAAAATTATTTATAAATTAACTTCGGAGAGATGGGTTAGAGCAATAATAGTAACAACCGTGATACTCGTAAGAATAGCAGAATATATTAATAAATATCGCAATGATAATAATAATAATGAGATGATGGTAATAATAGCGGCAAAATGCGATAGAAGAACATGATATTATGATTATAATTTTAACAAGAATATATTAAAGTTTTACATGGGAAGAGATCTGTGGATAGTGACAGTAGCCACCTCCATAAAGCTACTTATGTAAAAATCAGTGTCTTCATTTCCTTCTTTCGATAGGATTTCTGCAGCGTGCTTTGTTCACTTTCTTGCTCTGCAATTTATGCACGTTCACAGCTTTTATCCCTGATTACTTCATGAGTGCGCTTCCTCTAACGTCGCACTTTAGGCGTTTACGTTTCTGTATTGTTCAATGTTTGCACACTATAATTCGTCCTGGAAGAAGAGTTTCATCGTGTTCTTGTAAATTTGATTGCACAGATACTCTTCTTCCTCATCTCTGATCCGTGCTAGAACTTCTAATATTTGACTGTAAATAAAATTCATAATTAAATCACGTTCATATTACTTAGAAAAAAATATTGAGAAAATAATCATATTATTGTAAGATTTTAATGTTTAAATTTAAAAAATAGAGCGAAAATGTTATTTTGCGATTTGGAAAAGAAGAAAAATATTCCATATAAGTACATGTATAGAATATTTTCTCTCCTACCACCAGAGATGTTAAATAATTATATAATCAATTGAAATCTATATAAAACAAATGAAAGGTACTAACACTATTGTACAAGGTTCGTTTCGTCCTTTAACCATATGATCAGCCTTCCACTTTTCTTTCTTTACAGATGGAAAATGCGTGATAACATCTTTCGCAGACGCGTGCGTTGGCCTGATCTCACACCACGGGCAGTCTGTTTCTATCATAAGCCTGTCCGAGGGAATGGTAGTGATTGCAAAAAGGTTCTCCTCTGTCTTCAGAGAGCTGAAATACATAACAAGACAAAATTATCTTTTTTCTCTCTTAGAAAATCAGGCGCTATTGATCGTACCATCCGTTAATGCCGATGTATAAGCCTAACTGTAGTATAGAATTCGCGTCTTCCGGATTGCCGTCGAAGGAATGTACGACGCCTGGTGTCAGTTCGTTTTTGTGGTTTCTTAGAATTCGTACAAAATCGTCGCTGGCGTTACGGCAGTGCAGGAACATCGGTAGCTTCAGCGTGGAGCACAGCGATAATTGCATCTCAAAATACTTCTTTTGGATTTCTTTAGAACAAAAATTCAATCTGTCATAATCCAGGCCCATCTCGCCGATAGCAACAATTTTATTTTTATTGCTTAATGCCAGATCCGATAATGACTTGAGATATTCTTCTGGATTACCACATTCTTCAAATTCATTGCACCGAGTAGGGTGGCAACCAACCGTTGAATACAGTCTGTCTGCAATTTATTGATCAATAGCAATCAGTTGCTTATGCAAGAATGACACACAGAATAATTTAAGATGTGGATATAACTCAGATAATGCAAATGTTAACAATGTTGACAGATTTGATCAAATTTACTGTCAATCTGTCAACTGCTAACATTTTACTTACTGAGTAAATTTGCAAAATGCGTTAAAATTTAAAATTAAAATTTGCAAGACTTATAATGCCTATTATATGTTATTTTGAAAGCAATGAAAGATTTATATTAATATGCCACACATTTAAAAAACATATACATTTAGAAGTTACCATCTGTTTTCGCTATTTCAAGAGCTTTCTTGCTATCTTCCATGTTACCAGCTGTAATAATGATTTTGGAGAGATTGTTGTTCCAACTTCGCTCTAAAACTTTGTCCAAATCTGGCTGATGCTTCTGTGATCCGTGATAGATTCCTTGGTACATCAAATCTGTTAAATTAGCTCCAATGTCTGCAACAAATAGACACAATAATAAAAGACATTGATCTTTTTCTCTGTCACATACAAAAGTCTCTCTATTACACAGGAAACCATCTTAAGCAATAAATATGTTCTATATTCTATATTACCTACATTAGAAACTAACAAAATATTGCAACAATGTAAAGTCTATCTCGTTTTCTGAATTTCACGAAATATTAAAAAATTATACGAAAATTCTATAAGGAAACTTAACTTTTTCTGAAAATGGTAAAAATAAAAATTTCCAAACCATCGATTAGGAGAAATTTTATCAAAGTTAATCGCATTTTTATAACCTTTATGTGAGTGTGCGTGATGCCATAAATGGAGTACGCGCATTGCTAAGATACGAAAGATGATTGCGTTTACCTATAAATTTCCGTAAATTAGACATTCTAGCTCTGATCATAAAACGCTCCTAAGCGGAAATTGTTTGAGTAACTACTGGTCCAAGAAAAGAGAGAGGTTAGCAGGTGTCCCTCGTTTAACCGGCTCAGCGGATTGACACATGGATGAGCAGATGCTTGAGGAGGACTGACCAGGACTGACGTTGCGCTTTCATGCGCAGTACGGACGTTCGATGCGATCCTCGCTGCCGCATAACATCGATCTGATTGTGACTACCGGATTCTGATTCTTTCATTTGATTTAAAAAGATATAGATGATATATGATTAGAAATATTTCAGAATCTAGCTAGATTTTATGAAAATTTATAATATTTTTCTCGCAACTGCGATTATATAATTATAGACAATATGTGAATTATTGTAATAACATTGTGTACGTTGTAATTGGCGGAAGCGTTTCTCTTTGATTCAATTGCAGGAATCTAATTAATTATGATTAACTTCATGTAAGCTTACACTTTTTATACTAATATAATATAAAGGTCTAAAGATGTTCTTATAATTGATATTGTTTTACACAATTTTATCATATTTTACACAATTCTTTTATTTAGAAATAACAGTTGTTAGAGAAACTACAACAAAAACATGTTTTCTTTTTTTACATATTTATTATAAATCTTAATTTACGATATACAGATAAAGTTTTCTCATGACTCAATGCATTTGTAAAAGTATGGAATCCTTACTTCATTCGTACTCGCGGATGAAATATTAACAGATGCGACAAGTTATGTTACTGTATTGCAAATGCATCATCGTTGCTTTCAAGTCTTAAGTTTGTTTGCAGAAATGCGATCATTGGAGGGATTTTACGATCGCGTTGATCTTTTCCACGCACTCCTCCTTTTTCTTCGCAATCACCGCCTCCGCCTCGACAAATTGCTGACGACCAATCTTTCCTGGGACCAATTTATCCACATACAACGCCTGCTGCTGATTGTAGAGCTCCTTCAGGGAACGATCGCACTTCTGCAGCTCCTGCACGCGATCGTACACATCGCCGGACTCGCCCTTCAGCTTCTGCGCGATCTCGTTAAGCGAACTGGTGGCCGCTTTGTATTCCTGATTGATACCCTTCACTGTGGCTAGGAACGCGTTCGCGTCCTTGTTCGCCTTCAGGTACGCCAGCTGATCGTCCAGCTCGTTGTACGACGTGACTCTGCGATCCTGAGCGGCCAGTATCTTCTCGCACTGCCCGGCAATCCTCAACTTGCTCTCGGACGCCTCATCCTTATCGATGGAGAAGTCTAGTCTTACGTAAGTTATGACTAACAGGAACAACAAGTACAACGCCACTGCGACCAGCAGCGGCTCCTGCAGCATCAACAAACGCGGGAATGTGTACTTAAACCTGAAGCTCTGAATATGATTCTCCACCAGGTTCTTCTTAGTTACAGACACCACTGGACGACCAGTTACGTCTAGATATGTATAATGCAGAGAATCCGGCAAGCGAGTTGCAGAATACGGTAGCTCCAGCTTCATATTTCGCGCGCCCTCCGGCAGAATGATCTTCAGGACCATCTCGTCCACGACCATGTCATCGAAAACGTGATCCAGCAGCCTCATCTGCAGCGTGTATTCGTCTCCAGAGTGAAACAGGTACTCGTAACTAGGTACACTGTAACCGATCGTGTAACGAGTCTTCCAGCCTCCAAACAACGGGAATCTCGGCCGTAGATTCAACTCCACCGAGTCTTTCTTGATGCGGGTGTGCGATGTGGAGATGTTACCAATCTCGTCTCTGTAATAAATGTCAGAAGCGGCAGCTGGCAGAACCGTGTCAAAGCTTTGGATACTGGCCTGTCCAGATTTAGACTCTCGAGCGTATTCATAGCGGGAGAAAGGTCCCTTCAGCAAAGCTCCGGTGTGCAAGAGATCGATGCGCTCTTCGACAGCTATGTTACCCCAGTGAGAAATCTCAATGGTTCTTTCGAGGCTGGTCACTGTAAGGAACTTGTTGTTGTTCTCAAAGTGCACCGTCAGTTCCTCGTAAGCAAAAGGCAGCTGCTTCTCGAACGGTCCATAAGCTATCGCCGAGCCAGTCTGCGAAACCGGTTTGAGCTTGGTGTAGCTCTCAATGTTACGTGACGGCAATGCCACATAGGTGGTCTGCTTGGTTACTGAATAAGGCAAGTAAGCGTATGCATTACCCGTGTACTTAACCAACTGTTTCTCCTGCTGAACGATCTCTTTGGGATGTGGCACCAGCTCGTGCGTAAATACTGTCTCCACTTCAATGGTGAGGGTGCGACGAGGCGCCAAGTTATTGGTAAGATCGACGGAATAGAATGCCTTGTCGCGATGCGCCTCTACTTTCGCCTCTGTCACCTTGAGCTCCAACTTGCCCGGCTCCACGTGTGCCGCTATATAACTGAGAGTCTTCTTCTGAGCGCCGTCTAAAGAAAAGAGGAACTTCTGAATGGCGCGATCCTTACTGTTGTTGTCCAACACCACGCGGGTCGTGATCTTGGTTAGCTGGGACTGTAAATCGATGTGCCGCTCGACATTTCTGACAACCAAGTCCGGATCCGCAAGGTCGGCCGCGACGGCAACGTGCGAGCACACGTAGAGCGCGAGGAGGCATAATAATGCGCTCGCGCTTACACGAGACATTTTCGACGTCCTCGGGGTTATGGATCGAAACAGTGTCAGCAGTAATACACACTCTTGTCAATACCGGCTTACAGAATGCGGTCGGTACGTGACATAGACGTGGCGTTTATCTATGGCGTTCGTTGGTTCGCGGGCATATCGATATGGATACGGACGTGGCCGGCGACTCGGCGCTTACGGGCGCCTGTCGCATCGACGCGAAAACCTGCGTTCACATTTACAACGGCCGAAGCTGTGTGTTCGAAAATTGATCTGCGATTTCATCTTTTATCCTTTTTCTCGATAATAATGTCGAGTAAAGTTTAGATTATTGGAGAAAATGCAATTAGACACAATTCAGAAAATAATAATTAATTTATTATATAACATTTATTGTTTGTATAGTTTGCATTTCTTACGCGTGATTCTGCAAGGTTGTGATTCATCTAAAGTTGGATGAATCATTGTCGCCGGGTATCCTGCAATAAAGATGCGGCGTTATTTGCACCATTTGTTTTATTCGCGCGTAATTCGTGACTCCATTTTGAATCTCCTTGTGGGAGTAAGCACTTTTTTTCTGTAATCGAAGTTGTTGAAAGTGGACCGCCTTTGAAAAATGCTTTCAAAATATGCCAGAAGACTGTACACTTTTAAGACAGACATCATTAAGTGCGGTGTACACAAACGTTCGACAATTTCAGACACGACATCGAAAGAGGCGGTTGGAAAGTGTACACAAGTACATATACAGGTTAGACGTGCTCTATTATGCGACTTTTCGCATCCGAAACAATACTTCGTAACAGTCCGAGGTTCAAGAGATGTATAAAAGGCGTCTAAAGAATGCCTGAAAGATTGCAACGTTGTTCAGGCAGCTTAGGCGCCGTTTAAACGTCTGTAATATTTCAGATATGAATCGCGATAATGAAAAACACAAATCTAGTGTCTCATCCACTCTCCCTTTTATTCCACTAGTCACCTTGATAGATTTGATAGAACGTACGATCACGTACATAAGTTAATTAAAATAATGATTGACAATTCGGCGACATTGCTATCATTGCGCTTTATTATAACGTAATTTATGTTTATCAATAATATTGATTTTTATACTTAGGGATGGGTACGCGCACTTCGAAAGATGAAGGATAACATCTTTGTTGACATTTCTGATGGATCAACGTGTGAAATGTTACAAGTTGTTATTCCAAAGTCTGTCAAACTCGACAATTTGAGTTATGGAAGTAGTATCAGCGCAGAAGGAAAATTAGTCTTAGCTTCCAATGGTAAAACCGAGTTACATGCGACTGATGTTCATGTAATTGGCACATGCAAAGTTCTAGAAGATAAATATCCTTTCGCGCCGAGAAAGAAATACGATCAAGATTATATCAGACAGTATTTACATTTGAGACCAAGAACAAGAAACTTTTCTAGTTTATTGAGACTGCGTGATCTTGCTAGTATGGTAATTAAAGATCACTTAAGTAATAGGGGATTTATAAGTATACACACACCAATTTTAACATCAAACGATTGTGAAGGTGGGGGTGAAGCGTTTTTCGTCAAACCACACTCCAAAGAGATTCTTGAAAGTATGAAAAAGGAAGGTCAGAACGAAGATGAGATTTATTTTGATACAACTGCTTTCCTCACTGTGTCTGGACAGTTGCATCTAGAAGCAGTAGCAAGGTGACTAAATTCTTTGATACATTAAAACATGTTTTATATAATTATATATTAAATTATGGGACAAAATGTATTGCTAGAACTTTTTCAGAGCTCTTACAAGAGTGTATACTTTCGGACCTACATTTAGGGCAGATAATTCTAAATCGAGATTGCATTTATCAGAATTCTATATGTTAGAGGCGGAAATAGCTTTCATCGCGGATATCCAAGATTTGATAGAGGAAATTGAACTTTTAGTAAAAGAAGTTACTAAGCGAATAATTGAAAAGGGAACCTCAGATTGGAACGCAATTGGTGCCTCTGAACCACAATGGTTGAGTAAACGATTTGGATGTATAACATATGAAGAAGGATTTAACATATTAAACACTCACTCGAGTCAATTGCAATGTCCCATTAAATATGGAGAGGCTTTCTCAAAAGAACATGAATTATTTTTAGTAAAGTATAATGATGGAGTACCAATTTTTGTTATAAACTGGCCGAAAGAGATTAAAGCATTTTACACGAAAGAATATACAGATGATTCAACTAAGGTGAGCCAGTGTTTCGAAGAACAAATAATGCGCAAATTTCAAAAGCCCATCTTTTCTGAGTAAATATCTGTTTTATGCATTTTCTTAAAAGGTAGCAGCGCTGGACCTGCTAGCGCCAGTTGTGGGAGAATTGATAGGCGGCAGTATACGTGAGGATGATTATGGAAAATTAAAAGCAAAGCTACCTGCCACGGGAAATCTCTCGTGGTATTTAGAATTACGTAAATATGGGAATGTACCGACAGGTGGCTTTGGAATGGGCTTTGAGAGATTATTGCAATGTGTCCTGGGGATTAGCAACATCAAGGATACTGTGCCTTTCCCCAGGTGGCCACACAATTGCAGTTTATGAATAAAGATTTCAGGATTGTTGTTATTTATTTCATCCCTAACAAAAATACTATATATGGCTGTATGCTAATATAACAAATTAAATGATAATTTTTTAAATGGAGAAACAATGTCGGGTATAAAGATTATTTTATAGATTAAAAATGCAATTTTTGAAAAACAATTGCTTGATTAATGAAAGTATTTGAGGGATGAGAAAAAGGGTAAAATTGAAATAAATACAGTATTGAATTTTGAACAACAAAAGATGAACTTTTTAGCAATGTCTTTATTGTTGTCGAAATGTCCTTATGAATTCAAATATCCTAAATAGTTTCGAAGTTATAATTGTCTTAAAGGATATCGTAGAAAGGTTGATTAAAAAGGAAGTCAAACCTGTAATAAACAAATCTTGTTTTATACAACAAAATAATGCTCATCTAATCTTATCTGATACCGACGTCATTGTTTTTCCGCTGATTATTTATATATGTATAATACAAGTAGACAACTCACACATATATCACATAATTTTTACATCTTGAAATGAATCTCCTTGCTCCAAACGAACTCACTGGACACGTTTGTTTCCAAGAGTTGTCGCCGTTGTATAGAAGTATAAATACTTAAAGTTCTCAATTAGTATAAATGATCATCATCAAATTTACATAAGCACAAGTAACACTTGAAATCGTCACTGAATGTAAATCATTAAATTCACAAAGATTTGCGATCAAATCAATTTCACTCGATCATACACTTACTCTCGCGGGGAATGCTAATATATCGTACTTAGCTAATTTACACGAAATATGTACAGCTCCATCTTTTTTTTGCGTGTCGAGACGCTAATAATTAAGATACATTCATTCTCACACACGCATTTTTTTTTAACTTGTACGACGTGATGTTTACTTCCATATAAAGATTTTTATCTCTGTTTGTAAATTATTTCCATTTGCAAGTTAAATTTACAATCGTAATACAGATTCTTATAGCAGATACTTATAAATTTACTTAAATGGTAACAACGATATTACAAAAAGGAATAAAAAACAATGTCTACGAGTAAAAAAGCATATACATCATGTCGTACAAGCTGTACAAAATTATGATGTACAAAGTATAAACTTAGAATCAAGTGCTCTATATTAAGTGTAAATTTAATACTTTATACACGTATTATCATGGAGACTCATTTGTAAACTGTACACTACTATTTACATGATGGAGCAGAGTCCTGACAACTCTTGTCCTTTCTCCACAGGAGGTAAATTCGATAGCTTCCTACCCTGTAAACTCGGTTTAATGGAAGCTGGTACTAATGGCTGTTCCGCGTTTTCCTCTACGGGCGTTTCAATCGCTACCTTTTCCTTTTCTTTATTCTCTTCAGACAACTCTTTGTTAGAACTCAACGGTTTAGTGATATTGATCTTAATTCGCGACGGAGCCGCGGGAATAGCTGACGGTGCCGAGTCCAATTCCACATTTCCGTCGATGGAACTTTTCATTGCAGCGTGCGTCGTATCAACCATAGCCTGCTCGTTTACAATTTCTTCGGGATCTAGTAAGAATAAAATGATACATACACAAATCATTCTTGTGCAAAAAAAAATAGAGAGCTTATTTAAAATAGATTACATGGATATACATACCAGGTTCGGATTCTATAGGCTCCTCTTTAATTGCCAAATTGGAAAACACGAACATTTCACTGTCGGGCTCTTCGCTAACGTAATCCAATGGTTCCTCTTTAATCTTAATGTTTTCGAATGGCATGATTACATTTTCATCCGGCGATTTCTTTTCCTCATTTATCGCAGACGCGTCTTTCTCGACGTCGTCCGAAGCTGCATTTTCTTCATTAACACTTTCTACCTTTTCTTTCTCCTCTGCATCATTTTGCACGACTTCGGAATTATCCACATTAGAAGATTCTTCTTTATTTTCTGATGTAGTGGGTTCTATAGAATTTTCCTCCACTTGTTCCGTATTTTCTGTAGATTCAGATTCCTTTTTCAACACTTCTACATTGGATTCTTCTTGTTTAGACTCAACTCCGGCCGCTTCTTCGGAACCTTCTATTTTACCTTCCTCAATTTCTGCAACTGTCTCCTCAAGTGTCAAGGCCGACTTTTCCAACGCTCTCTAAAGTTTTAGGAATAAATTAAAATTACGTTATTGAGATTTTATTAATCTGAGTTAATGATATAAATATGATCGATACGTGCAGTAACAATCACATAATAGAAAGTTTGTTCACCCCCATAATATAAAATCTATAACTATATTAGTTATTCAAACTTGCCATCAGTTAGCGCAGGTAAGAACGATTAAATAATAAATTTCATGTGAAAAATACAAAGAAAATTGGTAAAAAAAAGCCTTTTTAAGGATGTTTTGTATTCGTATATGCAAAAGTATTAATGTGTACAAAAATAACAAATAAGTTTCATCTTCTTCATACTTTATGGACAATTGTGGACAACAAAAACCATTATTCTACGAATAATGAAATTCTTATCAGAAATATATCGTATATAAATATAAATCGTATGTAAATATATAAATATGAATTATTGCAACGTACCGCTAGATTCTTTTCCTTATTTGTGCAAGAATGCAACAGACGGAAATTTTATTAATAAAACACAATACGAATATCAGTCGATACAATTTAAACATATGTGTAGATAAGAATAAAGAGACCAACCTTGTAATCTTCCAGACAGAGTGGATGATAATTCTTTCCCTCGTAATTAATCGCCGGTCTCAAATGCCATTCCTCTTTTTCCTCATTGTAAAATTGTTCAAATGCGTCATGACAAACTTGACATCTCGAATCTTCATCGCTGCCAGTCGGCACGCTAGGCTGTAACGTTTCCTGAGGTGTATCGTCGGCAACCACACCTTCCGTCTCCGCCGTCTGTTTTTCAGTCTCAAACCAACTTTGCGCTACACGAAAAAAATAAAAGATTGATTATAATTTGTACTGCTTTAAAGTGAGAACAGTATCGTACATAAATATACTAAATCGATAATCGAATATGATTTTTTTCTCAATTGTCCTTATTAAATTATCTAGATTAGAAGTTCCGACGTGTTTTTTTTTTTTGTTTGCTTATTGAACAGTTTTTTGCTATCCAACTCGACTAACCTCATCTTATCCTTGAATGTATCTAAATAATCTGATATAGTACATAGTCAATATAAACATTATGCCGATAAATATAACATTGACATTTTCTCGCTTGCTTCATCTAATGTCGCTGGTTACGATTTTAACAATATAACTGGATATAGTTTATCTGTAGTATTTTTACACAGAAAATTATTACAGCTAAAGAAACAAAATTTGATATGTAAAGAAAAAGTAAAAGGTACAAACCTCTATCTTCTAAATCTTCAATTTCCTCGAATTGTATCCAATCACTGACATCATAATACCAAGGTCGAGAGTGCGCTTTTCTCGCAGAGTCTCGTTCACGCCTGTTCTGCCTGAAATGCCAATCTAAATGATGGCTGTATCGAGTGGCTAGCTCAGGTGCAAATCTGGCTCCACAAGAACTGCACTGCATACCGCTATATAATGCCGTGGCAATGGCTGGTTGCTTACTGCAAAAGACAGTCGACGTTTTGATATCGAACATTTGATTTTACAATATTCTAAAGAACAAACTAAATTGACGAATGATAACTTACACTTTAAGAGTCTCTGGCTTATCGAAGCAGACAGGAATAATCTCTGGTTCTTTCTTCTCTTCTTCTTCTTGCTTCTTTTGTTCCGTAAGGCTTGGAACAATACCAGTTTCGACCAGTCTTTGGAACAATTCGTTCATATTCAATGGCAATACTGGCGCCGGTGCGGGTGGATTCTCCGCGGGTTCGGCTTGATATGACAAACCAGACGATGGTGCCATTGCCGAGGGTAGAACTGACGACAACATATCCAATTGCAAGTCTGAAATTGACAATAAGAAACGAGAAGCCGTTATTAAATTGAAAAAATTAGAATAAAACATAAATGCAAAGAACATATGATGTATATGTGACTGGATTCTTGCCTGGTTTGGAGGTGGAAGTGAAGTCCGAGCCATCTTGCGATGTAGATTCGTGTTCTACAACCGGTGCCTGACTTGGTGTAGCTGCAGCGTCCACCTTCGGTTTTTGAGCAATCACAGGTGTTGTTGGTGGTGATTCGACAGGATCTTCGCCTCTCATCCCACTAATTTTAACATGACCAGCACGCACACCTCTTGGCAGAACTGAAAATCTAATAAAATGCTTTTTGTCTCTGACAACGATAGGTTTGGGCAATCCGCCGAATTCGACTTTAAACGGTCGTCCATTTAGAAGAACTGTCTGTAACGCGTCTGTGAATTCCAGTGTATGGGGTTTCCCTTCGATTTCGAATCTGTAAAAAAAATAGTAAATATATACATAGCTAATTTTCGCAATATGTATCTCGCACGCTATAAAAAAATGCACTTACATTTGTGGTTTTGCGTCCAAAAATACTGGCACCATATTTCGCGCGTTAATGATGAGATTGATTTTTGCGACCACAAGATCTATTCTCTTTACAGTGCCGATTTTAACTTGCGGCGGTGGTCCTTCCAATTTCACACTAATTTTTTTGCCGCCAAGCTCGATCGTTATTGGCATACCACCGAAATAACACTCGTACCAGCGATCGTCGATGTACAATTCTCGAGTAGGCGCACCTAGTTTGATTCTAGAATAATACATATGACAAATGTTATCTCTGATGTTGGAATGTTTCGGATTCAATTCGGGCAATATTTGGATATTTGGATATTACGCACCTGTGTACTTCTCCCTCGTATATAAACTCCTTATACTGATCGTTAAATGCGCAAGTTATAGTATCTTTCTCATCGATTAGTATTCTTCTCACGCCGTCCTGGAAACCAATTTCCCGCGGATCATCCCAATTCATAAAGACCACACCCGTCTGTCCGTAGTACCGAATTTCTCGCGGTATATTATCGATATTTATGGACTTCATGGTGTCTCTCGCTATCTCGGTGAGCAACTTCGAATCCGGCGGCGGCAATTCGCGATTATGCGATCCCGCGTTCTTCACCACGTTGCCGTAACTCTGGTCACTGTCTTCGAGATCGTATTTGGCAGATGTGTTCGGTGACGCGTTCCTACCGGACACCAAGGGCGGTATATTCGGATTGGTCATGAGATTCGTCATCGGTCCGTTATTCATCATCATCGCGGGATGACATCCCATTGCCATGGAAGGGTTCGCCATGGGTCCCATCGGTCCCATCGGGCCGTTCGGCAGAAGATTCGACATGATCGGTCCGTTGGGGCCCATCGGACCCATCATGCCGGGCCCTAAGCGCGGATTAGGCCCCATGTTGTGATTGAAGGCGCCGTGATATTGGTAATCCGGCCTCATCGGTCCGAAGTGTCTCGGATTCTGCCAAGGTGCGACAGATCTCATGTCCGAATTAAAGTGGCCCTGCGGCCCGTACGGCCCCGGCGGATGCGCCCAAGGCTGTTGCCACGGTTGATTCCATCGCGGCCCGTTCGGGTTTCGCGGTATCGGATGTTCCTTATTCCTTATCACTTCCTTATCGTTAGACGGACTGAACGACGCGACGCGATCCGCAGCACCGGACATGTCCATGTTAATACCTTTCTCCCATATTATAGTACCCTCTTTCTCCTTGCGCTGTGCGGCACGTAATTTCCGATCCTCACTCATATGCAACACTTCTTGTATCAAGGTGTTGTACTGTGTTTTCGTAATCGAGCCTTGATTCAATTGCTCGGCAGCTTGTTTCATTATTATCTCGATATTTCTATCGTCATTTCTCTCAGGCTTGTCATTTTCCCGACCTCTGCGTCCCGGTCTGACGTCTTGCTCCTCGTTCGACAATGTTCTTCTTCTTTCTTTAGGATCGTCCGGAAGCTTGTTATAAAGTCTGAGACGACCCAGCCTGTCTCTATTACGGTCCCTCTCGCGCTTTTCGTCGGCATTGTTAATTTGCTTATCTCTATCATTCTTTGTTGGCGTCTTTAACTTCGCCCAGCTATCTTTTCCATCTTCTCCGGAAATCACAGGCGGCGGAGGTGTCGGAGGTCGACCGGCTTTAGGATGTGTCAGAGTGCGCAAATCTACATCTTCATTACCAAATAATCTATAAGGTTGAAAGAAAATGTGTGATTCATAAAATGTATATTTATTATAATGTATGCAAGATTTATATCACTGCGCCTGTATATTCTGTAAGAAATAAAATAATACATACGCATCAAACTTCTCAGCCTTAGTTTTCTTAGACGGGGTTCCTTCTGTGTGCTCATCACTGCGTCTCTTATTAGTGTTAACAGATGGTAATACTCGTAGATCTAAATCCTCTTCTGGAAAAGAATTCAAGATAGAGTAATTTGTGGGAAATACACAAAGATTAAATTACGAATTACCTTAAATGTTACCATTCGATTACATATCCTTAACTTTTATTTCACAATCGGATTTTCAGAAAATATTTTGTCTTAATGAAGAAATGCAAGTTTTTGTCAAAGTTATTAGAATTGTGTGTAATCGTGAGCAAGAAGTTAGCGCAATAAGTTAGATACTTTTCTTTTAAAGATTTCACCTGTTACAGTCTTGAAATTGCTACCAGAGATGATGCAAACATTGTAGTCACCTTCGTGAGAAAATATTCAAGATAGAATTTTTAGCAGTAACTAGAGAAAGCATGTATGGAAATCGATAGATATTCTCGCATGCACAATCGAAATATAAATGACGATAGAAATTTTCATGAATGGTGTTATACAATCTTACATATAGAAGTAAGTATATATATTTTGCTAAACACTGTTGACTCACTCTTTTCAGGTACGGAAATAGTGGTGCCTGGTAGAGACAGCGGTGCCCTGAGATCTTCGTCTTTGCTAGAGGATTCCAATGTCGGTTCAGCAGCGATTTGAGCATTTCCAGCACTGGCTGGAGAACGTTCAGGACTAAGACTGTCGTCTTTATTTCGTCTTACATAATTTCTCTGTCTAGCGTTTGATCTGATCTCTTTGAATGCCGGTGGATGAGGAGGAGATACTATCAGCGAACCAGATTGCTCCTCCTCAGTAACACCACCAGAACTGCTCAAACTTGAACTCGATTTCGTATCGTTACGCCTGGGAATTCTATACGGGGGACTTGGACTACGTTTTCTCGATTTTGTGTTCTTCTTACGGTTTTTAGAGGCTTGGAAGGAGGACTGTGGAGAGGTACGTGAGGACGGTGAACTATCTTCGCTGTCTTTCTCGCGAGATTTTGACCTAACCGGACTCGAGTCTCTGTCGACTTTCGGAATCTTACTTGGACACATCGAAGGCTGTTTAGATCGCGACTTAATGCCTACTTTCCTATGCGAGGACTTGGAGGAAGTGGAAGACTTATCGAACGTCGAAGACGAGGAAGAGCCGCGTGAGTTTGAGCTCTTCGATTCTTTCGACTTGTTGGACTCACCGCTTCCACTTCCTCGATTGTTCTCGGTTGACAATACTGAAAATCGAGGGTCTTTCTTTGTTCGATGCGAGACAGCATCTTTATTTGTGTTACCACTGAAATTTTTATTATTATTGTTGAGATTCGTATCAGTATGATTGTTATTATTAATAACGTTTAATAACGTTGGATTATCGGAACCGGCAGGATTTGCCGGAGGCTTGTTGATAGTGCTAGTTACAGCCGGTTTCGAAATTAACTGCTGTTTTAATAGGTTTGAAGTTACAATGATATTTGCGACAGGCTGCGTTTGGCCTTCATTCCGCTGTTCTTTTGGACTAGTCGTACCCGCTCGCTGTCGTGGATCTACTGTTGGTACTGCCACTTCCTGAACAGCAGGAGTGGGTTTCAAACGTGGATCTCGCGAGACTGGTTTAGCCGACGCTACCGCTATACTACTAGCTGGTGCAATTCGTGGACCGCTGTTTGCTCCTGCATTCTTTAAAAGCGACGCAGCTGCCGCAGGAAACTAAACAAATAAATTCATTGTTCAATCATACCGATTTAGATTTAACAAATCTAATTAGTACAAACATTTATATAAAATCTAACTCTAACCTGTTTTGCTACTTGTTGCGGCGTTTGATTTGGTACCACAGGTGCTATGGGTTTTCCTTGCGCTGCTGCCTCCGTGGTTGGCGGGATGTGAGCAGTAGGTATAACCTGTAACGACAAAAATTATATATAATTTATTTATATAAGATCTTAATAATACATGTCACGATAAATTATTATATCAAAAAGGCACATAAGATTCTTAGCTTGTATCTAATCTATTCACATGATAATTAGGTAGGACTTACCACTTCTGTCTTCAAGCTACCAGCTTGTTTGTCGAGTTGTCTCTGTTGTTGCTCTAAACTTGCTTTCGCTTGCAACAGTTCCAGTTCAATCTTCTTCTTTTGCAATTCTAATAATTCCCGTTGCTTTTTCAACAGTTGCTCTCGCATAGCTGCTTCTGTTGTTGTTGCCGGTTCTCCCGGTGGTAATTTGACAGACGGCACTATTGGCTGCACAATTGACGTTGCAGCTTGTTGTTGAGGCTAAAAAAATTTTATACGATGCAAATAATAAAATGATAAAAAGATCGTATATGTCTGCGTGTGCGTGTGTATGCGCCAAACTTACCATTGAAAGAAATCGCGGGTTTACGTGTATAGAACCTGAAGAAATACTAGCAGAAGGGGCAGTGACTGGCCATGCGGGATCGATACTTTGTACTCGCACATCTAATGAAAACAATTTCTTTGGTGGAAATACGTCATTCCACGTTTGCCGTAGCTTCCACATGCTGGCTCTTGTGTTCTCATCGACCTGTTTATGAAAAATGATATTGGTTTATAGAATATTGAAATTAATTTTACGATAAAATTTCATAATAAAAAGAGCTGGAAGATCTTTCTATAAAAAATGAATTTGCTTTAAATATAAAGATATTTTTAATTTCTTTTAATTTTGATTCGTTTAATTCTTTTATTAATAATTTTTTAAGTTTATGATTTATGCATTACAACTCATGATATACTGGCATATGAACAAGTTTTTCTAGAAAGAAAAACCAACAGCAAATTTGTGTCTTTCAAAGGAAATGTGAGGTCAGTGATGTCGTATTGATCAAACAATTATCTTATGCTATCGTGAAATATAAACTACCAAGCGGCTCTACACATGCTATGAAATATTTCTGAGGCTTAAAGTTCGACTGAGCTTGTAGTTCTGTTTCATCGTTCACGATGAAAACTAAAAGGTTACTCTCGGTCAGTAATCGCGCAAAAGAATTATATTTATCTGCAACTATATTTCACATCCATAATCTCATAAATTGATTTAAAAATAAGGTAAAAATAAGGTAAAAATAATATATATGTATAATGCAAAAAATATTTACCTTCTCAAACACTCCACAAAATGTATTCACTATATTTTGCGTAAAGAGATTCAAATAGTCTCCATTCACATTCTTGACAATCGAGTCGATGAGATAGAGTACTGGCAACTTGATATCGCTTCTCACCTAATAAAACAACGAAATATGCTACCTCACTATCTGACATATATATTTAAACTATTGTACATATTTTAAATGTTTTTTAACACTAGAAAAATAAGCGAAATTTTAAGTTTCAAGATAAATTAATAGATATTTCTCTTAACACTACAAATTTTATTTCTGTTATACACACATTAATCATGACTTCAATTGTGCTAATATTAAACAAGGAATGAATTGTTTAAAGATCAATTCTGACCCTTCAGTTCTCTAGAAGAATGTAAAAGCTCCATTTTTCTAGTGTTAATGTACACAGATATTCCAGAATTATCGTATTTCAACTATGTAGCTACATATTCTTTCGCAGAGTCCATTTTTCCTTGGAACAGCTTGATAGGAAGCCTAATTACGTAATATTTAATAAAACTTAAAATAAATTAAAGATTTGTTGAACTAAATTTTAAGAGGATAAATTCAAAAGGGTAGTACATAGTAAAATCTTGTTTTTTTTAAATTGATCACAAATATATTTTATTTGTACAGATATTTAAACTGTGACTTATAATTGTCCATACATTTAACGCTGTAAATAAAATTGGAGTAACAAACAACAGCCGCCTATCAAATTTCCATTAGAAAAACATCCATTTTGTTTTTTAAAAAAATTTATCAAAGAATGCATAGCTAAATACAAATGCAATAATTTTGGGACATCTTGTATATGAAAATATTTAGATATGTAATGTGTCAATAGCGTTCATTATCACATATCGATAAATTGTTGTATAATTTACTATCTGAATGTTTTTGTGAAGGAGTAATACTCAATAAGAGATGTTACCTAATTATAAAACTAAATATTTAGTAGTATACATTTTTATTAAAACTTTATTTCAATTAACACATTTGCACCCACATCCCACTTCACTCCTACATTTAATGTTGGGCATTGAACGTATTAATAAAATATGTGCATTATGTTCAAATAATCACAATATCAAAATTAATTATTTCAAAAATGCTTTATTTGTTATTTCAACATATATAATACTAAGTAATATATTACTATTATAAATGTTGCTATAACATTCATTCAATAACATAGTTTCTAGATTTTGTAATTATATCACTTTTTAACATATTTGTTTTTAAATATTTATTATATCTAATATATAACAGCCTATTGCACTTAAAAAATTATTTTTTAAATATCGTTACCAGTAGACATATTAATTAATTTTTCATAAAATTTCACAGATTACTTATAAATATTTTCATAATTACTTCATAGACCATTTCACAAAGGTGCAATAGGAAGTAAGAATAAAGACAAAATAACAAAATTGCTGTGCATGCTATGTCATGTATACTGGAGATAGAATTTATTGTTATATTTACAAAAAGAGAAAAATACTTTTCAATCAGAGAAGTAAAATAAATAAATAAAGTCTTATATTGACTCTTATATTGAAATATTGAAATACTGAAAATAACTATAATAGATAAGTAACCTTTTGTAGATGAGTTTCGACAGCTTGCACTATCGCTGGTGCATGTTCAATGTTATCTTCTGCCAGCATGGTGAGCATGTTAATAAGCGGCTTACTGTTGAACGATAGATCAGATAGAGATGAGATGTACTCATCGGCAACTTCTTTAGACTTTGTTGATGTCATCTTGATGTGTTGCTAGTGAAAAAGAGCAACAGATCCTAATCACCAAGAATCCAAACTATAACATAAAAACATACATATTTGTATTATACGGTCAACATTTTTTCATGTCTTTACAGAAAATAAAAAAAAAAAATAAACCAGTTTATGTAAACAGAGAAAAAAACCAATTCATATATATCAAATCATTTTAACTTTCTTTTCTAATAAATTATTCAAAAATAAATTTATTCCTAGTCAAGCAACATTAAACAAACTGTCATTTTATAAATTAATTGCCATTTTATTTTCATGATGCAATATTGCAACGTATCAATGTGTTTACTGAAGAATTTTAAAACAATTATACAAGTTTCTGTTAATGATATCTGATCAGAGATAAAATAAAGATCTTGCACTTAAAGTCCAAGAATGAATCATCTCTTAACAATGATTCATAGGGAAAAATTTAAAGAAAAATAATCTAAAAAATATATATTTTTTGTGACGTAAGGAGATAAATTAATATAAATTACTTTAAGAAAAAATATAAATATTTTAATATTTTTGAGAAACATACTACAATATAGATACAATCGCAATAATGTTTTGCGATTATTGCACCCGAAAAAAACGCACTTTCGCCATGCAGAAATGAAAACTAGGACGAACGGGACAACACTCTGGCATTCTACCTTAACTTCCGCTTACAAGATAAACTCGATTTGATCATCTTAAATATGCAGTCAGGAAAAATTTTGTGAAGAAGAGAAATTAGCGCAATGCCTATTTATGTAATTATCTGCAACTCTAGGCAAAGGTCGGCGGCACATCCATACGCAGAAACTCTTATCGATTTCACACACGGTCTCTCTCTTACTCTCGCTCTCTCACTCTCTCTCGCGATTAAAACGGCTACGGAATGCGAAATTTTCAAAGCATTTCGAATACGTTGCGTATTTTATCACAATTAATGAGCACAATTAGAGCACTAGCGATTACGAAAGAGTCCAGTGAGCATCTGGAATCGTCGTCGTCGTTGCAGTCTCTCTTTCGATATCCGTCTCAGGAAAGCATCGCACATTTTCGATCGAAATTTCACACACGCCAACACCCGTGATCTCGTATTCCATACACTACGGTAATTACCTTTTTCAATACATTGTGTAACACAGATACAACCAGAGGAACACGATCGTATTTCGACTTATTGTCGAAAACTCACGCACGTATATCACTCCTTACGCGAATAAAATTCCACATAAAATGGCTGTGACGCACACCTTCGTTCTCCTCCTAACGGAATAGCGCAGATATAACGTCATCTCCTATTGGATGCCGATGTCGCATTTCGGTTGGTCACCTTCACTTAAACTGCCCAATCACCGAACGTGGCAGAAACGCTTTGATGTCGTCGCGATCGCCTAAAGATCATGAAATATGCACCTGACATAGATGCAGGCGCATTAAATAACGAATTCTGATTGGTTAAAGCCAGTGATGCCAATTCGAGCTCGCTAGTACCATGATACCGTAGTGGAGAGGATATCCACACAAGCGAAATCGCTGACGTCACATGTCCGTGTGTGCTCGCCGAGCCACACGACCGCTAAGCTTAGAGAATCTTCGCGCATACACATATTAAAGGATTCGGTCTTGACGAAAATGGCATGGCCATTCAAAACGCGGCCGGTCTCGTGGGCCAAGAAACGGCGCGAGAGGTTAGTATTTTCTCAGAAATGATATTAGTATCAGAATTGCATTATTACTTGTATATCTGTTTTCTCTACTTTTATCTGAAATAAAAGTAAACTTGTGTAG